AAATACACGAACTATTAAAATTTGACACGTGTCTACTAGATTTAAAAATATTGAGACATTGTGAATTATCAAAGATCATGCAAACTTTTCTTTGGAAGCAAATTTCATTTTCACCGTTCATTTTAGCTCCTATAAAAGGTTATTACTTTTTTAACTAAAAATGAATATAGAATTAAAAAATACAATACAATAAATAAATTATTTGTTCCAGTGGTGTAACAAATAGGGGGAAAGTTGCCATTGACCCTGACAGCTCGCCACTGGTTTATTATAATATAATATGTAATAAAATATTTATTACGAAATTTTAAAAAAATATTTAAAGTAGTTTTTGATTTATGGTAAACTTTGAATTTCGATTCTTTTAACACCCTGTATTTCGGTTACTAAGCCCTTTAATGATACATTCCTATATCAAAATGCATCAATTAATGAGAGCTCTCTTAGGTAGACCGTTGTCTGTAGAATATACAAACACCCTGTAGGTAGCTCTAGGTCTCAGCAATTATATGATACCCTGTATACCTGTGTCAATTTTGACTACGAATAGTTACCTCTCTTTGCATTTCGACTAGCTTATTTTTTGTATTCAAAAATATCTTTTAGTTTTCTTGAACCCACCACAATTTTTATTCTTACATTTCACTTAAATATTTAAAATATATATTTAGTTTTAAACGCACATATCTCATCATTTTCTTCATTTCCTGCAACACAAAATGTTTTAATATACACTGTCACCGTAGAAGTCTGCATCACATTAATGCGCTAGTTCAGTGTGATGTCATTTTGGTTCCACTGACATTTAATTCTAACCAAACTTTTAACAAAAACATCAATAAATTTGACATATACGTTTTTACTGTTTTTAGTTTATTTCTAAATATTGTTTACAGGTTTTAAAACATTGTTTAAAGGTATGTAATTGGTAACTAAACGATTGTATATTTAATTCATGTTATCTACTTACTTTAGGAGTATTTTTATAAAAGTGAAAAAACGATGTAATTTAGGTAAACAAAACGTACTCAAAAAATCTACTGTCACTTTTAATTGTCAGTGGAACCATAATTACATCATCACTGAACTAGCGCATTATTTTTTTGTCGATCGGCTATCTGTCAAAATTGACATATTTTTAAAAAAATACAATAAGGTTATTTCTCAAAATTTCGAAAAATGTAAACCTACCAATTTGAAAGAATTTGGACAAATTTGATTTTTTTTTGCGTTTTTTAGAACAATTTTTTGGCTTATTCGAATTTCTATAATTCACAAAGATCTGTTAAGATGTATCACTCATCTTCTAAAGTGTTTTTTGTTTAAATATGTTTCTAATTTTATTTTAAAAAAATACAAATATGCTGAAAAAATTATGTCATATTTTATTTTTAACTGATTACAAAATGGCATCTTAATTAAGAAGTATCATAAATTTGAATCTGCCAACATGGGTGCCTCAACACGAGGGCAAGGAGGGACGTCTGCCCCTCCTTCCCCCCTCTATGATTTGTGATTTTTTTATTTTTCGCAATGGCTTTCGACTATAACCTGCGGAGTTTTCACCCTGCCTATAAAGCTTGCCCCCTGGAATTTTTTTGAACGGTGCCAATTAAGAGTCTATTTTAGATTTTGAGACTTAACATAATATACCGTATTTCTTTTGAAACTATGTAAAATTTGACAGGTGTAGTCGATCAATAGAAAAAAATAGTGGTCATTTTTTATTATATTTGAATCACACTGACTATGAAGACTAGAGATAAAGAGGCGAATCGGTATACTCTACATACGGTCCCACTAATTGAGCTTTTTTAATTCACTGCAAGGGCGCTGGTGCTAGTACCGATTTTCAAAATACATGGCTTCTTATCCGAATTTTACAAAAATTTGTCAAAATGATAAAAATAAACTTGTTTATTGCCAAATAAAGCACAGGTATTGTATTTATTTCTAAATAAGTCTCGCATGTTTTAATTGTTAAATTATTTAATTTTATCTATATAAAATGCAATTTAGGTAGGTATGACTCAATTCTAAAAGATTTGTTAAATGGTGAAATTTGGTAAGTACAATTTTGTCTGTTTTTTTTTTAATTATGCCTAAATATAGTAGTTAAGAGCAAAATAAAATACAGTTAACAGATTCTTTTATTATTATAATACAAACATAAAGGGAGATTTGGGAATGTATATGATATTGACACATCCTTTAATTTCGGCTTTCCCCTTTTTATTTTGCTAACAGTACCATCAGTAAAAAAAGTCTCATAATATTTGGAAATATCTTCTAAAAAGTGTAGAAAAGCATCATCTCTAGAAAGTGCTTTATCGGCCCTAGGAACGATATATATGCTGCTACTGTCCTAAACGTCTAGGATTCTATAAAAAATATTTAAAATGACAAAATTGGGGTTCAACAAAAAAATAACAGTAGCAACTCTTTATCTAACATTAAAACTCTATAAAAAAACAAATTTTCGTTTCTAATAAGTTAAATTTAATGTATAATTATTGTTTTTTGTAAGTCAGGATCTATGACTGTAAAATGTTATTTTATAGAAACTTGTAAAAAAATTACTTACACTCCGTGATACGTGTTGTGACTAATTTACTATAAATATTATATTTAGACATAAATACATTATTTTACTTACATTAGAAGCTTTAAAAAGACATTGAATTGATTTCTCCTCGTGTTTTCTTTAGTTTTACATGTGATTTGTATCCTATTTTACAATGTGGAACGAAGTAAATCGTGCTTTAATGTTTTTTGTCACTCATGTACTTTTTTCACATTATTTTGATTATTTTCACCAATTTTTTAAAAAATCACTTTATTTTACATTGACTTATATAGAAAATGAACGTCAGTGACATTCGACCTGCCTACTCCAGTCAATTTAGCGAACTTTATAAAAAGAAAGATAGAAATTTGAAATTTGATCATTGCCGATTCGCCTCCTTATATCTAGACTTCGTAATACTGACTTTAACGGTGACACTGATGAATTTGCTTATTTCACTCTACAGGGTGATCATTAAGTATGTGAGCAAACTATTCATGACTCAGTTGTAAGTTCTAAACTCTTTGTTTTAAAAGAATCCGGCAATAATGGAATGTGTGAAAATGCTGTCATTTGTCATTAAGCCAACAATTATGTATTTTAAAAACAATTGTTATTGGTATAGTTTGTATGATAAAGGGAATTATTCTTTTAAATATATTGTATTTCTGACTTTCATTTATTTTTATTGCCTATTTTTTCAAAATTCAACTAATAAGAATTTTTTGTCTTTTTAATATTTATTAAAGAATAGTATCTTTTGTCACATACTTAATGATCTCCCTCTATTATTTATTTAGTTATTTGATTACATAAATTAGATCATGCTTTAAGCTTTTATTAATAGGACTTAATATAAAAAACGTTTTATTTTTGATATGAAAAACACAATACATACCTACTTATAATAAATACTATGTGTGTATACAATAGTTGTTAATTATGCAAAGCACAGATTATTTTTGGTTAAACTCTAAATCTCTAAACCTAAAACTAATCATACATTGTTTATACAGGGAGGTTAGTAAGTTGTGAGTCAAGTAAGAAAATTGATGAAACACCTAACGATTTCGGATAATTTAAAGTGATTTCGTATAATTTCAAGCGATTTCTAAACACAAATTTGCGCTGTCACAGTTTGTAAATTTTACTAGTAAACCTTTTATCGCATTGCAACATACTGCCAGTTAACTGAAGGTGGTACCTCAAACTAAATAAATAATATAACTCTTATTTCTTATACCCTTATTAAAACAATGCAAAATAAAATTAGTATTTTTTGTTTTACAAAGATTTTCGAAACGGCTTTAACGATTTGAATGAAATTTTGGTCGTAAAATATACCTAAAAAGGCACACATTTTCGAGCAGTTGTCAGCTCTAATCTCTTAAGCCCTCTCTGCATTTTACGGTTCCACTTGTCCGATTACCGAAAATATTTAAAGAATATTTAATACAACAAGTCACCTCCGAAACCCCCTTCCGATACGCCTATGCTGGACGAAGCAGACGGCCGGTCTACGAAGAGTGTAAATCGAATGATGTAGAACACTGGAAGTGTTTCATCTAGTACTTTCAAGAAATACCTGGAAATATTCAAGAACAGTGCGGTGCGCAGCATTTTTTATTTAAATAGACGAATTTTTGCCATTTAAGTTAGTTCAGAAGTAAATATTGAGTAAAAATAATTTTTTAAAGTAATAAAACAGTGTAGTTCTGAATAATAATAAATTAGATATAAAATAAGTTGATGTATTTAGTGAATATAAAATAAAATAATTAAACTGTTTAAAATAAATAAACTCAACAATATTTTAGAAAATGACGATAGTAATGAATTGATTTTGAACTTGAGAGGGGTGGGGTCAGGCACGTTTCGATCCAGTATATCAGGATGGGAACCTTCTCGACTTGGGCTCAAATTCCGCGTCTTTATCTGAGACATGCTACTTTTTGCTGTCAGATAAGGGACTAAAAACATCTTCAACTCTTTTTTTTCCAGTATTTAAACTTCACCAAACGAAAATGATCATTCTAATTTTTTGATACGATAAACGTATTTTTGATACTGGTTTAGAACTAGTATAAAAGTTTGTTAGTCACCTACAATATTGTTAGTAATAAAGCAGCATTTTAAGAAACATTAATATTTAGGTAAGAAACCCTTATTTACCTAAAAACCACCACAAACAGGAAACCAAAGATTCCACTAATATTCCTCGTCTGTATAATTTACAGAACTATCAGAAAGTAGTCTTTCGTGTTCGGAATGTGAATCTAGAGAAAAGAAAAATAAATAAAAAGCTAGAAAATTAAGAAGAACAAAAGAAAATATATAGAAAGAAAAGTAGACAGTACAAAAAGCAGTATTTGTAATTTAAAGATAATTTTAATAAAACACAGTTGAAATCTTATTTTTTTTTTATTTTTAAACACTTGAACAATACGTAAACTCTTCTAAATAGTATTTCTGCGAGATATAATTTTTTTTGTAATACTCATATAAAACATTTAACAATATTCTTTAAAAATACAACTGTCTAATACTGAACAGTAAATAGGAAAACTGTAAATACTAGCTAAAAGTGATATCTGATTTATTTCAGATATGTTATTGTCAATGATATTGTCAATTTTGGAAATAAAATTTTAGACTATACAATGGGTATACATTATCTATAAAATTACTGTATCTTTACTATTGCTTTTATAAATTACAAAGCTGATATTTTATCAAAAAATTCATTAAAAAATAAATCAATAAAATATTAATTTCATCGATATCGGAGAAATAACTTTTTGCTAAACAACGGTCCTAATTTTCTGTTTTATCGTTCATCATCGTATGTTATACTTGAATCTAAATTTTTACTTGTATCAAATACATATTTCAATGTTTGGCGAGGCATACAGCATATATGTAGGAAGTAGTTATCGAATCTTAATCTTATGCGTTCCGAACATAGCCGAGTGATAATCAGGTATTCAAAATCAGTTAGGTATTCCCACAACACTTTTGTTATATGTTGGTAAACGTTTGCGCAAGGCAAAATTTTTCGTTAATTCCTGTCTTTAGACTCTGATTATTCAGCTGCAATTCTGACCTTGAGTGAAACAGTTATTAAAAGAGTAACACGACCTACTGACTGGGAAAGCTTCAGAATTTAACTTCAAAACAAGATCAATCTGAATATATGTTTGAAAACAACTGAACAACTTGATTAGGAAGCTGAAAACTTTACAAAAATTTTTCAAACAGCTGCTTACAATAAGACCAAAGAAATTACCCATTTGACAAAGGGAATAAACTACCCAGTTAAGATCAGAAATCTTGTTAGAGAAAAAAGAAGAGACTCATCTGATAAATCAATTTTAAACAATAAAACTCAAAAACTGAGAAGAGAAATTCAGAAGCTCGAAGAAGAATCAACAAACTCATGCCTACAGAACCCTTCACCAGTTGAAGACACAGATTATTCTCTGTGTAAAGCCACAAGATAAATTAAAAGCTCTATTAGCTTCATCCCTTCCATTAGAAGAGATAATGGAGGATAGGTCAGGGACAATAAACAGGAAGCAGACTTGTTTGCTAAATATTTGTTAGACCTTTTTACATCCAATCAGATGCAGGAAAAAAATTATTTGCCTATAATAGACAATCAAAAATCTGAAAACATCACCCTTGTTACACCAAAAGAAGTAGCAAAAGAGATTAAAACTAACTTAAATCCGAAGAAAGCACCTTCAATATTTCACCAGTAATTAAAGCAATTGTCATGCTGACATACTTATTTAATGCAGCTTATAGATTGAGACATATACCTGCATGCTGGAAAGTTGCAGAGGTAATAATGGTATCAAAGCCTGGAAAACTGCCTAACGATGTTAAGTCTTATAGATCTATTTCTCTCTTACCAATTGTGTCAAAATTATTTCAAAAATTACTGCTAAAGAGGTCAAGACCTCTGATAGAAGATACCTGATTTCCAATTCGACTTTCGACAGAAACCTTCTACTATTGACCAAGTGCATAGAATCACAGATGTCATAGAGCATGCTCTTGAGGGAAGATAAGTTCTGCTCTGCAGTAGTTTTAGACGTTGCCCAAACCTTTGACAGGATGTGGCATGAAGGTTTGGTTTACATACTGAAAAAAAAAATATTCCGAAGCAATATGTAAAGAGTATAACATCATATATCTCAGACAGGCTTTTCAGAATCAAGCAGGAAGACAAATATTCTAATATAAAAGAAATAAGAGCTGGAGTGTCTTAAGGAAGTATTCTTGGACCCATTTTATACTTACTCTACACTAGTGACTTGCCAACTCTGGAAGATATGACTGTAGCTACATTTGCTGATGATACTGCTCTCCTTGTAGTTGATCAGGACCAAGAAAGATCAGTAAGGAAATTACAAACTACTAGCAATTGTCTAATTAGATGGACCAATCAATGGAGAAGTAGGCTCAATGAGCTTAAGAATGTTAATATGAACTTCAGACTAAATATCAACGGAAAAACTGTACCTCGTGAGCTGAATGCAAAGTTCCTTGGCATGACCCTTGATGCCAAGTTACGATGGAAAGTACATGTTAAGAAGAAAAGAACTGAATTGGGATTAAAATATAAACGGCACTAATGTCTCTTGGGAAGGACCTCAAAAGTGTCGGTACATAATAAAATATTAATCTTGAATCAGGTTATAAGACCGGTGTGACCTTACGGCATTCAATTATAAGGATGTGCCAGAAATAGGCAACAATAAGTCTATCTAAACCTTTCAGAACAAAGTATTGCGCAACATAGTGAACGCTCCTTGGTATGTGCGCAATGCAGATCTTCATCGAGATCTTGGGATTCCAACAGTGAAAGAAGAAATCAAAACATTTGCTAGCAAGCATAAAGCTCTTCGGCTGCTGGACAATCAGGACCAGGTCCGACGATTGAAGAGGACCAAGCTATTTGATCTGGTCTAGTGTATTGTGTATGTGTAAAAGCAGAGCATAGTGCACGAGTGACTTGTATGTAGTAGTCAGAATAATCTAGTGAATATTGATGGATTGACTTAAGCTGATAAGTTCTTAGTTTAAGATTGTTTCAAAACAAAATTAATGGTTAGTCTATGAGACTAGTTTTAATGGCAGGCACCACAAGATATCAAAAAAAAATAAAATTATTGTCTTGTAGAAGAGGGAAATCCTTTGCTGCTGACGCACTAGTGGTGGAGCGCTCGACTAAGACGTCTTAAGAATGTCTTAGAAAATTATAATGTCACATATTTGATTAGATAATTGAGGCTTCATAACTCAGGTTGTTAAGTATCCAACTTTGAATTTCGTGATTCGGGTTCAATTCGCGGTAAAACAATCCGTTTTTTTTTTTATTTTTTACATTGGATAAAAAATTAAAAAAGAAAAAATACGACTACTGCTGTTTATTAATTTTAAATACATTAACCCCTACAGTTAGGCAATCCATTATTCATTCCGATATTTATTTTGTACTAATTTGATAAGGGTTTAAAAAAATTGTAGGTATCATCTTTAATAACAAAAAAAGTTCTTGTTCACAGTTCTTCATCGAGTGGGAGTCGAGTTCTACACAAGTGATGTAGATACAATATTTTTCTACGACTACAAAATTATTTCACCAAACAAACTAGGATAGCTATGGAGTTTTAAACAAGATGTGGCTGGTTCTAGATTTATTTTTTATATGCCTTATTGGTTTTGAATAATTTTCAAAGTGTTTTGCAGATGGTATTTTATAGAAATTAAAACATTTTGATTCCATTTACTAATACTTTCATAGAATGATAAAGGTGAAATAGTCAAGTAAATTATCTAATCAAATATGTGACATTAACATTTGCTCCACCACTCCAGGGCCTGCAGCAAAGTATTTCCATGTTCTTAAAGGTAAGAATGAACGAAAAAGTTTTAATTTTGCCTTGCGCAAGTAACACACCTAAAAGTGTCACCAATAGATTTGATGAAAACAAATTGCTTATTTGTTCAAATATATTTGACTGAATAAACATCATTGGCTGTAAGTATAATTTGGTTAATTACTTTACTAATTTACCTAGTTTCTTCTTTACGAAATTGTTTAGTCTAAAATTTTATTAGGAACTGGTAGAGGTAATTTAGGAAAGACTGCCACAGGTGCCTTCTACCTTTATGAAAGGATTGTCACAATCTTTCTTAATTTATCTCTGATACAAAGTGTATTAGATAATACTGTCACAAGTGGATATATAGAACAATTATTTCTACCATCACAATCTATGGATATAAATGTTTTTTATTTCGTAAAATCGAAATTCACATAGAAGAGAAATGAGCAACGATTGCACAGCAAAAAATATTAACTAATAATAATACTTAGTAAGCGTTCCAAATAGTAAAAACTGGATTTGTAGTACCTAGTTATAGTTGAAGATATCTATGTAGTGTGTAGCTTATGAGTTTTAAAGCTATGACGCCATATATGTATATTCGCAGGCAAAAAATGTCTAAAAACACCGCAAAAAATGTCTATAAAGAAGTCTATAGTCGCTACCTTTATCAGAGGACCCCTATTCAGTAACTGTACGAGTATTCTCTCACAATTTGGTCTTTCTGCACATATCACTCGCAGTCAAGTGAAAAGGCCCAAATAAGCCAAGAAATGTTTTTAACAAATCTGCACAATTTGTATTTTTCAGGATCTTTCGTTTCCAATTTTTTCAAGATAAGACTTCACTGACCTAGTGGCAGTTCTCCTGGCTAGCCATGGTCTAGTAAACCATCTTCTTTTAGCCATTGCCTCTGTCTCTATTATTTCAAGGATCTCGTTATGCATTAAAATTAACACTTTTTAAAGTTTGCTCTTAAAGCTAATTTCCTATCCATTTTGCACATACACAACCAGTAGTGCATTGATACTTCCAGAGCCTACCAGTTCAGTAGGGAAAAAGGAACACCTGTCATTTTTTTTATGATCCGATTCATTGAATGCAAAAAAAAAGTTTATTTTTGCACACTTATACTATTTTCGAGGTTGCCACGTATTATGGGATTTCTTTGCATTTGATTCTTTGTTCTTTGAACGATGGCCCACTGATTGAACAACCGGCCTTTGGACCGGTAGACCGACGGCCTAATCCGATACTGTACACAACTATATATTTGACTGGCCTACGTGTAAAACGATAATTGCATGGTCACTGGATTGTCTTCACTTTGTTCTCACAACTGGCCTCGTTTAAATGGTCCATTAGGCGTTTATAATCAGCCCTTCTATAAACGCCTATGCTTATATTCAGGAATGGAGTAGGAAAGATCGCACATGAGAAGGATAGGTCTGCAACAAACGTCGTGGAAGAGAAATTCGCTCCATTTTGGACAGAACTAGGTTCTAGATCTTCAGGTTCATCCAACTGGAGCGCACTGAATTTAAACAAGTTTTGTCCAATTTAACTATGGCCTTCATTGAAAGGTGTGGCCCGTAAGTTAGACATGAGCCACAATAGATCCATCTGGGTCGAGTGGATCGCGATGAGATCTTCCCACTCATTTTCAACCTAACCTAACCTAACAACAGATGAAGACTTTTACTAATATGATGATCACAACTTTTTATTGCATCGCCACATTACAAAATAAATTTAAAAATTCCATATTTAATTAATAGTATATAAAATATTGTCGTATCATGACTACCTACTCAGATAGTTACAGCAGTCTCATGGGGCGCGTACTGTAAATTTATTATTTGGTGGGTAAACATTTATTCACTTGTTTAGGTACCCACCAAAATACTACCTTTGTTCTTTGAATTCGGTAAGTACTTTAAGTTCTTGTTCTCTTTATTACAGTATTTTGCTTTTTCTATTTTACTGCTTGGCTCTTAGTACTTTTCAAACTTCATACTGCTGTGTTCACTTCATTAAATTGAATATGTTAAACATTTCACCATTTTTGCTTCATTGTTGCAATTATTGTTGACAATTTCTTGTTTGAGAATCATTCCATACATTCCGTTAGCATTTCATTCCAGATCAATACGGTTTGAAGACAGTACAAGCTAGTTTGGTGTTACCTGATGATTCTCCAACGAGGCCAAAAATGATCGTATAATGGCATTCACCAATAACTCGAATCCTCAAAAAAAGATAAAATCTGAAAATGTTTCTTCTATTTGTAATAAAAATATTATTGTCTACTTCAAAACGCATCAACATTTGCTGTCCTATTTTTTTCGAGAAAATAATTCATAATAATTACAAAATTAGTAAATTATTATAGAACGAGAATAATTTATTGGCCGTACCTAGTAGAATTATTCCAAAACATTTAAACTTATTTGGTATTATCGGTCAAAATATAGTTTTTATTTATATACGGCTCGTCCGGCAAATATTCACTTCGTTACAAAAAATATATAGCATTTTGTAATGTTTTACATACAAGATTTTTTCTAATTTTGACTAAATTATTTATAAAATTGTGTTTAGGGGTGGGTTGGCTCAGTGGTTAGAGTCATGACTTTGAGATCGGAAGGTCTCAGGTTGGAATCCCACCGTTGGCCGGGATTTTTTCATTTAATTTAATTATTTAAAATTAATTCTGATGCCTTGGTAGGATTTCCCACTCGACCATTCACTGTTGGGTTCTAATTAACAGTGCTGTTCCTAAAGTGGCGCTGTGAAATAGTAACAAAGCCTACACAGAACACGAGGCGAAAATAACCTTAGCAGTTGAAGCCGATGACACACACACAAAAATTGTGTTTGTTAAAAAATCATAAATCATTAATTTTTTTTAGAAAAAGAATATTTGGAGAAAATTGTTAGGAAATAAATGATACTTTTTATATATTACATTATTTGAATGAGCACTAGTTAAATATTTTTTTAAAGAAAATTTGAATTATTGTATGCTTATTAAATAAAATTCTGTCTATATGCAACTGATGTTACTCCTATCTGCATTGTTAGTTGCATAACCTAGTAGTAGTTATCGATAAACGTCAAAGTATAAGGATATTTTTAATCAGTGAAAGTGTTTTGATTATATCGAAAAGGGATGGATCAAGATTCTTTAAAATAGCCACCGAACTAGAATTATAAAAATCGTAAGTTTGCTGACAAAATTAATTTTTATATAGCAAACCTTCTCTCGATATAAACTTTTAAAAGCAATGAAGCAATGTACCTATACAGGGTGTTTTTTTAATATTGCGAAAAAATTCAGAGGCGTGTCCCTTGGACGAAATGAAGCAAAGAAGTTCCTATGAACATATGTCCTATGCCTCTTAGATTTTGAACTACAGGGTGGTAAAGTTATAAGAAAAAAACTTATTTTTTGCGATACATTTAATACCCCTGTAGATATTTTTCTGAAAATTGGTACGCTATTTCTATGCATCCAAAGTCATTTTCCGATACACAATTTATCGAAAAAAATAAGTTTTTTCTTATAACTTTACCACCCTGTAGTTCAAAATCTAAGAGGCGTAGGACATATGTTCATAGGAACTTTTTTGATTCATTTCGTCCAAGGGACGCGTATATCGATTTAAAAAGGTTAATTTTATTTATTTTCTTTTCGCAACGGAAGATATAATGAACTTTTAGAAACTAGAATGCAAAAAAAATCTAGAAGAAAACCATATTTATTTCTCATATTGTGTGTGTATTAAAAGTATTTGGTTTGGCAAAATTAATAGATAGGAAAACAAAACAGAAAGAAAATTTTTATCTACAACCACCACAGTAAAACGTATATCATGTATCGTTTTGTTTATAAGTAAATACATCATTACAGATACTGTTACGTAATGAAATCCCAAAATTATTACGTAATTATATATATTACCTAACAGTTTTATTTATCAAACTATCCATATTACTCCGTTGCTAAGTGATTGCCATGGTTACGATAAACAGTTTTGACATTTTAGAAATAGAAAAATAGCCATTGTTGAAGTTACAAAATTATTTTTTTAAAGAATAAAATGACTTTGTCAAATAGTAAAAATGAATTTCAAGGAATTCCTCCTCCGCCGAGAGCCAGACCAGGCCTCGGGAAAATTCTCCAGATCGGGCCCCGCGACAATTTTATAAAACATTAAATAACAAAAGGTCATCAAACAAAAATTTCTCCGCCTCCTTTACGCCAAAATTTCTCCTACTCTACTTGAATTTCTCTAAAAAAAAGGTCCTCAAGCAAAAATTTCTCTCCTCCTCTAAGGACTTCCCCCCCTTGTGTCAAATTTCTGAAAGTAACAAACACCACAGCTGCCGGGTCCCCATTTGAGCCCGGGCCCCGGGAATTAGTCCCGGCTACCTCCCCCTCTAGTCGGCCCTGGCTGCTAATATTACTAACAAGTTACTGCCTTTAAAATCAACGGCAAGGTATGAAATAGTATACCAAAAGCTTATGGACTGACGTACAAAAAACAATGTAAACTAATTCTTTCAGAATGTGCTTTAGGCATATTTTGGGGAACAATACAAACCTGCATCATTTTAGGCAATGTATTCTATGTCAATAATCGTCATTTCCATATAAAATAAAATTAATTTTGAAAGGTACCCAAAATTAAAAGTATCTTTCAAAAAACAGTCAGACTGTTTTCAAAAGCAGAAATTGTTTTGATGAAATAAGTAAATATTTAAATGGAGCTCTTGATTCACAATTATATTAACAAAGGTTTGTATTTGAAACAATTTTTGTTCAGTTAATTTAGTAATTGCATTTGCAATTTACAATATTTTTAATTAGATGTATTTAATAAATGTTATAGAATACGAAAACCTTCTCGTTATTATAAATGTGTAATTGTGGTTGTAGATGTAGATAAAGTATAGTACATTACTCGAGTTGTAAGAGCAATTACATTACTGCACTCGCCGCCGACGCGGCTTGTGCTCAACTTTTCTACTCGCACGTAATTAGCTTCTTACTACTCTTGTTATGTAATATTACAGAATTAAAAATTACCAGGGGCGTTATAGTAAAAATTAAATTGCTTAAAATTATTTGATTAAATTAAAATAAATCTTTTTTGTCTGTTTTATTATTTTAGTAAGATTATTGTTCTTTTATTATTTATTTGAAAATTTCTTTATTTTCAAAATTTTCGAAAAACTGCAAATTTTCTAATACATGTCTTGTTAAGGAGGTCCTTTCGCCACACCTCTCGCCTCAAATGTTAAAAAAAAAGTTATTAGATTATGACTAAAATTAATTTTTTTCTAATAGTTGAAGTCCTTATTTATCTAATACTGAACTTTTAACTATACCTTACCTTGCAAATTTTTGAGAATTTTTTTTTTTTTTTTGTGAGTATTTGTATAGAGCCTCACGAGAAAGTAAGTCCTCAACAACAATTCTCGAATTATACTATTATTTATTGATTAGATGAAGTAGAAAAAACTAAAAATAAGGTTTTTGTAATATTTAGATTTTGTTTTATACAATAAAATATATATAGTAAACCGTGGAACTTATTGAGAAATTATTATTAAAAAATCACAAAAAATTTTCAAGTAACCTAGTTGAAAATTTTTTGTGATTTTTTAATAATAATTTCTCAATAAATTCCACGGTAACCTATATATTTTATTGTAAAAACAAAACCTAAATATTTCAAAAACCTTATTTTTAGTTTTTTTCTACTCCATCTAATCAATAAATAATAGTAAAATTAATTATAATTCGAAAATTGTTGTTGAAGTCTTACTTTCTCATAAGACACTGTACAAACACACACATTTTAAAAAAAAAATTCTCAAAAATTTGCACGGTAAGGTATAGTTAAAAGTTCACTATTAGATAAATAAGGACATCTACTATTAGAAAAAAATTAATTTTAGTCATAATCTAATACTTTTTATTTAACATTGGTGGCGAAAGGACCTCCTTAAGGAACTAGAGTTTTCACTATAAGTTGAAATACTATTTAATAGTATATTTATTCTTTTGTGTAAAAATTATTATTTTGTTTGTCCTTTTTTTTTAAGTGGAGTCACTATCTTTCTAGTCAATTTTATAAAGAACGTTTGGTTGATTCGTGGGTTTAAAATTTTAAAATATCGTTTTTGTTATATTGTTTGGTGTTTGAGCAATTTTTATGTTATATCTAGGGAACTGAGGATAGGAACATTTTAGACACTTTTTCTGAAAATCCTTTAACGTGAAAAATATTTAGTTTAATTGCAATTTTGATTCGTATTTGTAGTGAAATATCAATTTAAATAAGGTAACAAAAACTCTAAGAAATTGATGATTTTATATAAATTTATATATTTAAAAAAATATCATTGATCTTAAATGTCTTAGGACTATATACTATGCGTTAGTGAAATCCCGTTTAAAATAAGGGAACATCAAAAATACATTTAAGATATGTCACAAAAACAATATACGAATCATATAAAATTCAAAATCAATTATTCTTCTAATATTCTTTTCCAATAAGCAAGGTTATTTGATACAACATACTCAGGAACGCATGTGTGTACCAACAAAAGAAGAAACATATTTATCACACCTTGTATGTAGTGCTATTTCAATAAAAACTATAAATTGATCGATCATACCATAAAAGTTTAATTTGTTTTTGATTAAATATTATGGTTTTTTAAACATTTTTCGATTCACAAACTGTTCAATGTTGCTATTCATTTTTTTTTATTAAACTCTAAATTAAAAAGCGTATTCTATAAAAGCTGCCCCATAACATATCTAAATCTATTACATTTCGAATTTCTGTTTTCTTAATTTAAAAAATTAAATACTTAGTACTCATAAACAAACAAAAAAATAATACTAGTTATTTACAATAGTCGATACATACTCTAATTTAAAAAATAAATATTATTTAATAATTTTTTGTCCCTGATGTTCGCAAATTGGTAACCTATTTTATCACAAAATTAATACAATGAGATTACAAAAATACAAACGACGTCCTATACTTTTGTTCCGTTTTGAAAAATTGCTAAATATTTGTATTTTAATAAATCCTAAATGTTCTCGTTTATATTCTACTCCAATGCTTTGCACTGTTTGAAAGCATACTGAAAGTAAATAGTTCATTTTCAACAATCAAATATTCGTTATCTAGACTTTTTTAAATGTGTCAAATATCAGTAATAAAAATAAATATCCCTATTTTATTTTAAATAAATAAATTTGTATTTTTTGATTTGTTCATTTATATTTTTTTTATATATTTATACGTATATACAGGGTGTGTCCAGTTTATATCATCAGGATTTTACCAGTCGGGAATTTATAGAAAAATAAAGGTAGTTTGTCCAATCAAACATACTCTAATTTTGTTTTCTTTTTATGTAGAGTAAGTGAATTTTTTTAAATTTTTTTTATTATTATCTGCTGTGATGCTTTAGTTGTTGAAATTTTAAATAATATAAAATTAAAAATACGGTGAAAACATGTGAATTTTCATTAAATCAGTCAAGGGCCAGCAAGGATGAGGCTTAAATTACAGTCCATTTTGTTTTATCGCTGTACTTACCAGTACCGCATTACTGGCACAAACTCTTACAAGTGAGTGCTACAATATTTAAAAAAGGACTTGACCAATTTTAATATTCACAGTTTGTTAACAACTTTATGAGGTGTCTTTCGAACATGTTACGGTTGATTCTGTAATTCCAGAGGCGTGCTCACAGGGCACTTCGTTTAGTTTTCGGCACAAAAATATAGTCCAGTACATTTCTTGAAATATTTTATAATTCTTTTAAATGAACTAAAAATACAACTATCAGCTGGTGAAATCCTGATGATATAAACTGGACCATCATGTATACAGAATATAAGTTTTAATATGAAAAGGAAGTAGAGTAAAAATGATTTTTGTAAGATTATATTGTTTTGTTTTTCAAAATGGATGCATAACATCTTCTAAACCATTCGCTGAAATTTAGGATTATTAAAATTTACTTTTACTAAAGGATAACGATCATGTAACATTGAGCAAATTCAAAATTAAAAGATATACATAGATATACATAAATATAGCCATAAGTTTTAAATTTATTACAAAAATATTGAAATTTTTGTTTATTGTCTTTTTCTGTGAATAGTATTTAAAAATAAAAGTTACAAGTGCACAATTTTAAAAGTTTTGTATATACTTGACATCATCAAGAGTCAAAATGTTTACTACTAATAAATAAAATGCAAAATTTCAGTCAAAAAATAAAATATTTTGATTGTTCTTGGAAGACATTTTAAAAATTATTGTATAATGTATGAACATATATAGGGTGAGCCTTGGCCTCTTTTATTTATGAAGAGATTTGGATCGAATTTGAAACAAACATACTAGACTTGATTTCGAATTAACACTAAACAAAATGGCCTACTTCCGATTTTACCGAAAATGCCATTAAGTTTGATTTTGTAAATTAATCATCTTATATATTTTTTTAGAATCAACGGTTCAAATTACATATGACAGCTTTGCAAAATTTTCATTTTTAACAAACAAAAATTTCTTGACGTAGAATGCCATGAACTGCAAACTAATGTTCCAAAAGCCTCGAATAATACAAAACGAAAGCTATTTTACTGAGGTAAAGATAAATCCTTTAGATAAAAAATTAATTTTTAAAACATTCTAACAATATACACCTAGCACCACCTAGAACATTATTTTCTAGGTCATAACTCTTTAATTAAAAAAAAAAAGGGAAATATGAAGATTGGCAACACTGCCATAATATGTAATTGTAATTATACATTCCCAAAAACATATAATATGTAGGGTTATCTATTTAAAAAATCATACCCAATGGCATTTCCTGTAAAATCAGAAGCCGGGCATTTTGTTTAAATCTAAGTGTCAATTTGAATTTCTGCATATCAGTTGAATTGGACGTGACTACATTTTTGATCACTTTGAGATATATGGTACCTTGTAACATGTACATATGAATTCAACCTTAAAAAACCAACATATATCTATGCATTGCAATTTGACAATGTTTTTTAAAAAGCTTGACAAAACTCGGATCATTAAAATCCATTATTATTGAAATTGCTGTTCCTGCAGATACGTTCATTTCAATTAACAGGGCAGAATTATTTGTCTAGTATGTTTGCTCCAAATTTGATTAAATCGCTTGATAAATAAAAGAGACAGTTCTCACCCGCTATATTACTATGATTTCCTAATTTTATTATCTGGTCTTCTTTCAAAAATTTAAATTGAACCTCCAAAAATAAATGACGTTCCGACTATGTCTTGTATTTCTGACGTTCTCTTATCATCAGCTTTAGTTACTCTATCTCTATCTCTCTTTCTCTCCCTCTCTCTCTCACTCAATCTAGACTAGAACTTTTTAGCTCAACAATCGTTAAAATTAAAATTCTACTTTGAAATATCGTTCTTCTCACTTTGAGCTGCTTGTCGTCGCAAATCCGAACCAGTAAATATCAGAAGTACGACTCCGACTAGTAAAACTATACACATAACGATATTGGCCCAGACGTCATTAACTTGGTTAAAAATAACTGAGTATATATTGGTGAAGGCTATGCCGAAGAGGTTGCAGGCGCAGTTCAGCAGACCGGATGAAGTACCCTCTGGAGCTGGGTAGGTAAGTTCAGCGGCAAGTTCGAAGCCTACAGGTAGGAGACCGGTCATGAAGAACCTGGAAATTTATATTTTCTGTTAGTTTAATTACATTAGAATTAGGTCTAAGTAAGGCTGGGGCATACCCAACAATCAGAGCTGGGGAGGATTCGAATCACATATGATTCGAATCCTCGGATTCGAATCCTTTTTGAGGATCCGCGAGCGGTATTCCAATACTTAAGAAAAAAAGGATCCGTGAGCCGGATTCGCCAAGGAAATCCTTAAGGATTCGTATTCGAATCACCAATATTAGTCTCGGATCCTTTTAGAGACCAAACTACGCCGGCGCGAACGGATGACTCACGTTTTGTCTTGTCACGAAGTGTAAACTGGAGTAGACTGAGACTGAAGACCGATTGTTATTATTTAGAAGAACGTAACAAGCTACAAATTAATGTCAAAGAAGGCAGTATAGCACTTAGAAGACAATTTTGAGTTAAAAGCTATGCCATACTTTTAGGCTATTTTAAGGCTATTTTTATACCCTATTCAAAAATTTTATGCTTCTCGTTTTCTGCAAAAACCAAGGTTCTCTGCTAGCTTCGAATGAACCCAGCAGAGCACCTCGGTTTTTTTAAAGCTTTTTTTCTAAAAACAACCACACCGCATTTTTAGGCTATTTTTAAGCTCTTTAAATATTATAAAACATTACTAAAAATTGCTATTTTTAAATAATACCGGGTGCTTTGTTAGAACAAAGTTAGCAGAGCACCTCAGTTTATTTATTTTTTTTTTTTTCTGGAAACATCTACTAATGTCACATGAAGCTATTTTTCGGCTCTTAAAATATTATAAAACTTTTCGAAAAAAATGTTTTTTAAAAAATACAGGGTGCTTTGTTGGAACAATGTACGAAGCTAGCAAAGCACTCTGTATTTTTTTTAAAATAATATTTTAAAAGTCTAAAAATATTGTGTTGTTGTTTTTGGAAAAAGCTTTAAAAAATGAGGTGCTCTGCTGACTTCGGTCGAAGCTAGCAGAGCACCTTGATTTTTGCAAAAAACGAGTAGCATAAAAATAGCTTTAAAATAGCCTAAAAATTTGGCATAGGTCTCAACTCTAAATCTAAATCCAACATAAAAAATCCTAAAATTTAACAGTTGCCTTCCTTAGTCTGGTGCAGTCTAACGATTATTTTTGTTTGCAGGTATAATCGACGCACCTCAAAGGAACGGCTTTGAAATCTTGGTGCTATGTAGACATTTTTATTTCACAGTTTTTATATTTTGTTTTTTGTATTAAAATAAAATATATTTTTTTAGAGTCTAATGTTTTTATGGTTTATATTTATAAAAAAAAAAATTATTTTTTCAATATCTTATATCAACCATTTGTATGGAAGTTATAGTCCATAATAGACATATAGTTGATATTGATATTAGATTCGGAAGCACACATAATACCATGGTATGACACTGACAGTGATTCGTATTCGTGATCCGAAAAAATGGATTCGAATCCTTTTTTATTACAAAAAGGATTCAAACATAGGATCCGTGATTCGAATCACTCTCGTGATTCGGATTAGTGATTCGAATCAATTTTTTGAGGATTCGTCCCAGCTCTGCCAACAATGGGTGGTACAAAATTGATCGAGAAACATTTGATCGAAAATACATTTTATTGAATGGCATTTAATCAGAAATACATTTGATTAAAACACATTTGATCGAAGATATATTTTATCAAATAACATTTTATCGAAAAGGCAATAGATCTAAAATTCATTAGATCGAAAGTGCAATACATCGAAAATCAACATTAAACAATGCAACCGTCCGTCTAATCCCTACTACCAGGGAAACTAAACTCAGCTGCTATCAAATTAGGTAATAATGGTAAATTTTTCGATATTCTCAAACGACAGCTACCTCGTTTAACAAATGTTATCCTTCATTGAGATTAAAGCATTGTGATTAATTCGCACAAAATATGTATTTCAATAAGATCGAGTTGCCTCCCAGTGGGACATTTTTGGTAAATTATTTTAGGTTTTTTTTTTTATGAAAAATTTAACTAATTTACCCAACTTGTGCGGCTTGGAGCCGTCGCGGTAGCTTCGAAAAAAAAATTACAGAAAAATGAGAAAAATTAAAAATCTTAACTAATTTACATAACCTCTGCGACCTGGAGCCGTGAAAGGTTGTTTCGTAAAAAAAATATACAGAAAATAAAAATGAAAAATTTAAATAAATTACCTAACCTGTGCAGCCTAGAGCAATTTAATTTTAACTGATTGCTTTCGCGCAGATTAGGTAATTTAGTTAAGTTTTTTTTATAAAAAACTAATCTAACTCACCTAACCTCTGCGGTCTGGAGCCGTAGTGGTTTGCCTCACAAAAGAAGTTATAAAAATAAGAAAAATAAAAGACAACCAATTTACCTAACCTGTGCTATTTAAATTTAACTGATTGCTTTCGCATAAGTTAGGTAATTTAGTTAAGTTTTTTTATAAAAAACTTATCTAACTTACCTAACCTCTGCGATCTGAAGCCGTCGCGGTTTGCCTCTCAAAATAAATTAACTAATTTATCTAAACTGTGCTATTGAAATTTAACTGATTGCTCTTGCACAAGTTAGGTAAGTTTAGTTAAGTTTTTTTATTTTTTTCATTTTTTGTATATTTGGTTTTTCGAAGCAACCAGCGATGACTCTAGGCCGCATAGGTTTGGTAAATTAGTTGAGTTTTTTTTTTTATTTTTTCTAATTTTATGTATATTTGGTTTTGCGATCATTTGCTTTTTCTATCAAATCTATTTTCGATCAATTTTCTTTTCGATCATTGTTCTTTTCAAACATTTTTTTTCGATCAATTTTCTTTTCGATCAATTGTTATTCGATTAAATGTTTTTGATCAATTTTCTGCCACCAACAAACAATACATTTAAAATACATGGCAAACAATTTTGGATGAAACAACATCAAAACTAATATAACGTGAAAAAAAAAACTAAATCCATTCATTTCGAATGAATCGTAAGAATACTACACTTTTTTAAGAATGAACACATGTATATGCAACCAGGTATATTTGTTTTTGACGTAATCACCGCCAAAAAGGAATCCCATCTGTGCATTAAGTTCTATCCCAGACAGCACAAATAGGTCCATTGGACGTCCATTCGATATACAATTTTGATGTCTGGACGTCCACAAATCTGTTTTCTAGACTTCCGACTTCCAATGGACGTCCAGTGAAGTATACAATGACCATTCAGAGGACGTCCATTCCTGGATTATATTCCATTGAGAACCACATCCCCACTTTTTTTACACAATCGCAACTAGCCACACATTATTTTTTATTATTAATAATTTATTTATCATTTTCGCAACCCGCTATACACTATTTCTTTTTTCTTTAAATAAAAATCACTTGACCTGAGCAGGCATCGAATTCACGATACGTCCATTATCATTCTACGCTTTCAACCGCTAGACGAGGAGTCAGTTGAAAACTTTTTTACTGAATATGGTTATAATAGAATGATAGAATGAAATGCCATAGATTCAATTTGTCAATTTTTAATGAGCAATTATAATATAAAAAAAGTGTATATAGATGATAGACTAAATAAATAATGACTTAAGATTGACATCCACTGGACGTCAAAATACTATTAAACTTAAAATTAAGTCCAAAAACAGACGTCCTCTGGGTATGGATAAGCAGCTGTCAAATTAATGATCATAAACGGACGTACATTGGATGTCCGAATACGGATATGGACGTTCTGATTCTCAAATGGATCTAAAGTGGACGTCCATTGAACTAACTATATGTGCTGTCTGGGATGTTTGGCTCGGACCGTGCGGACAGCCATGATAGATGCATGGCGGACTGGTAAAATCATTTTTTTGTAATATTACGAGTAGAGAACATTACTTGAACGCCTATAACCTGGCACAACTAGATTTACTCAAGAAGGAAACTCATCCCATATGTCCGCTTTGCAGTCGTCTACTCCTTACAGCCACATCCTTATAGAAAGCCTTCAAATTATTAAATAATAAACACTTACCCTAATAATGCTGAGATAACATAGACGACGTATATTCCTTTTGATAGAGTAAACGTGTACACAACCATTGAAATTAAGGAGAAACCATACACGACCAAAGTGGTTTCTCTAAATACAAAAAATTTTACATTAGTAATATATTTTGAAATGTATAAGGATAATAGGTTTAAAATAAATAATTGTTCTATTAAAATATAATTTTAATACATTAACTTACTTGAATTTATGATACTTGTCCAAGACTATTCCGCAGCATACTGAGCCCAACATTCCTGCTACGATAATAACCAGTCCTATCCTGCCAGCATCAGCACTGGCACCCTAAAAAATTAAAAATAAAATCGTACCGTTAGATATTTAATGTTGTTCATCAATTAATAAATAATTTAGTCTTTGTAAGACTACAATAGTTATTTGTGTGCCAAGGCAGTAAAATTGATCTTTTTGGCAGAATCAGAAATTTGTGGCCGAGGAGTAGCCGAGACCAAGTAACTTCTGGTTAGGCCAAAAAATATCATACGGCCGAGGTGCCCACAACATTTTTTCAAGTAGAGCCAATATTTTTATTATTATTACATTCTTTTGAAAAGAGGCTTTAATGCAAGAATTGTTTCACATTTTGATCAAATAAAAATCTATTGTCAACTAATAAAATTTGTACAGAATAATTACAAACAATAAGTTGCAAGGACGAAAAGTTGAGTCGAGAAAAAACACTTTTCGTCTGTGTTTCATACATTGTTTTTATTCGTATGTGCTTAAATTAAATCTAAAATGTTATTATTTCCAATAATTTTTCCTTAACTTAGTTGGCTATGAGAACAATTGAACAATTTCTGCTCGTCACTGCGCTCATGTCGAATTAATTTAATTACCTAGTTGGCAAATTTAGCGTCTTTGAATTTAATTCCAAAAAAATAAAAAATGGTATATGAAAGAACCTACCTCAGATCTAAGAATTCTAATCGGTATGCAACACTTTATACATTTAACTTAAGAGGCCATGGCCGATAAAGTACTTTGTCCACGACCACTTAATAATAAATCAATATTATACCTCCTAACCTAAAGCATATGGTACTCATATATCACTAGAGTGAATTATGATAATTCACGATTTTGTAATTCTGGCAATTTCCGGTAGATAACTAAAGATGGGCGATATTTTTCTAGATATTTTCTAGATCGAAAAATCAGAAATTCGAAAAACCAAAGATCGAAAAATCGAAAATCGAAAAATCAAAAAATCGAAAAATCGAAAAATCGAAAAATCGAAAAATCGAAAAATCGAAAAATCGAAAAATCGAAAAATCGAAAAATCGAAAAATCGAAAAATCGAAAAATCGAAAAATCGAAAAATCGAAAAATCGAAAAATCGAAAAATCGAAAAATCGAAAAATCGAAAAATCGAAAAATCGAAAAATCGAAAAATCGAAAAATCGAAAAATCGAAAAATCGAAAAATCGAAAAATCGAAAAATCGAAAAATCGAAAAATTGAAAAATCGAAAAATTGAAAAATCGAAAAATCGAAAAATCGAAAAATCGAAAAATCGAAAAATTGAAAAATCAAAAAAACAAGAGTTAGTTACCTATGTTTAATAAAAACTTTCCGTTCTACACTTAACTTTTATTTAATAAAGAAACCATAATGATCGTGGACAAAGTATAGTATTAGACTCGCAATTTATGGCCATTATTCACTCGGGTGAATAATGGCTACCATAAATTGCTCGTTTAATAATATACTATTATGAAGTACATATATACAAAAGTTCTACTTTTTCTGTTTGAAGAACGACGTTATTTTGACATATTCCAATAAAAACAGTATTTAATACACCCATCTATCAATAATTATGTTCATTATTTAGCAAAAAATTCATAATTATTGATTGTACATGTTATTTTTTTATACTTACGGGGTAATAAAATAATACAATCTGGTTGAGAAGCGTTGATATGGCGTAGAATACACCAACGTTAATTCCGTAAGAAAGCAATAATAGTACGAAAGATTTATTTTTCATTAAACTTTTTAGAGATCCAATAAAGTCAAATTCTTCACCACTTTGTTGAAGGGCCGCGTGAGATGGAGGAGTTGGAGGCCTATCTTTGAAAACTAAAAAGAAATAAGATATTAAGAACGTGATTTTCAACAATACCCATATCCGACGTGTGATCTGGTTTAAGGGTATTGTTGAAGACTCTGTGGAAGCAAAAAGCGAAATGATTTTTTTAAAAAGTACTCGTAATTCAAAATTTTGTAATTATAGGTAATTCGGACAACCAAGCATAATATGCTGAGGTGGCCTAATTGGTTAGCGAGCTGACGTCCGAGATTCCAGATTCGACTCCCGTTCTCGCACGCGTTTTTTCTTTCTTTAATTCCCGGCTTTTTTAATTTTTCTGTGGTTTGTTTTCACTTTGGGGATATGAGGGTGTAATTTTTGTAATTTTTCTTTTTTAGAATTTCCAAAATCTGAGTATAAAAATACTTACAAAATAAAACAATCACCAACAGGACCGTAGTGAAAGCTGCTACGGCTATAAACATTGTGTAGAACTGTGTAGTTTGTTCATCGTGACTAGATTCTGAATTTACAAAAATTGGTGGAAATAGAAAACCAGCAGCAATACCCAACTAAAAAAAAAATAATATCAGTTTTGATTGGATTTACCATTTTAATATAAAATAAATATAACACGAATTAGCCATTTTCTTGATTAATTGCTAATTAAACCACATCATTATACAGGTTATAACGAAAAGGTAGCTAGAGTAAATTATATCAGATATACAGAGTATATATACAAGGTGTTACTTAATGATAGGCCGTAATTTCAATGCGCATTCCTGAACCAAGTTCAAGTAGAAAAGTTAATATAAACATGGGTCCTAAAAAGTCTGGTTTTCAAGATACAGGGTGTCAAAGTTTAAAAAATATAGGTTTTTTTATTAATATCTATAGACTTAGTAAACCAACAAATTTTGAATCAAAGTATGTGAAAATAATGTTTAAAAAAAGTAAGCCAAAGTAAAACAAAAGTCAATTCTGTAATATTAAGTAAGTTAAGGTATGGATTCGAAAAATTGGCTTCCGCTTTAAGAGAAGTAACAACAGACAGTTTTTATTAGAACGAACGTTGTTGTATTTTTTTTTTTTTTTAATTAAGTGTGTTAAATTAAAAAATTATAGGGGGATCCATTATATATGATCACCTGTTACCTATAGAATAAGTATAACTAAGATAATATATTGCATATTATCTTTTAATGAAGACCAGCTTTGTCTCATTGCAATTTGCAAGATTTAAAGGCGGGTTCAGACGCAACCAGTAATTTAGTCAAGTGGTCGAGTAATTTAGTGACTTGACCCATTTGAACACATTTTGTTTTAGTCGAGCTCACTGGCAGTCGAGTACACAGTCGAGTTTAGTGAATAGAACTCTATTCTATTTTCTTGGTCGAGTAGCAGCTCCCACCACACAGAAAAGCTGATTAGCGCGCCGGTTAGACACGTTTAGACACTGGCTTTGTGTAGACCCTTTTTTTACTCGACTTTATTCTACTAATTTACTCGTGTGAACAGAAAACACACTTGACTAAATAACTTTACTCTACTAAACTACTGGCTGCGTCTGAACCCGCCTTAAATGCAAGTAAAATACAACATATTAATAAATTACCTATTTACCAGTAAAGCCACGTTTTCATTAGTAGAGTTAGCGGTAGAGTGACTAGCATGCTTTTCAGCATGTCTACTCTACTTGACCGGATTTGGAGTGAGTAGCCGTTCACACGCAAATTGAAAATAATGGTAGAGTGGTAGAGTAGTAGAGTAAAGTACAGTTAAAAATGTAAAACACAACAATGAACAGCAGCCGTCGTCGTCGTATTGTGAGAAAGTGCTTGATAAATATTTCCGACATTTTACTGAGGGAAGTGACCTTAGCTATTGATGAAGAAGAAAATAGAATAAAGAAAATAAAGACGAGAGATTGGATCAAAAGAAGACATACCCATGAAGCGTCTGCTTTTCTATTGAGAAAACTAGCTGAAGAAGATACGCAAGAGTATATATTGTTGATAAGAATGAGTCCCGAAAATTTTCAGGCTCCACTTGAAATGGTCACCGATGTGATATTTTAATTAGTATACACGCTTCACTACACACAAAACCATCCAAAACTGTTTTTATTGGTAAAGTAGCGGTAGGGTACATGGAACACAAATCGGTGGTAGGAGAAGGCGAGTTGGCGAGTTACTTTACCACCGTGCAATCTGTCTCTAAAAGGCGGGTTCAGACGCAGCCAGTAGTTTAGTCAAGTGGTCGAGTAATTTAGTGACTCGACCCATCTGAACACATTTTGCATTAGTCGAGCTCACTGGCAGTCGAGTACACGGTCGAGTTTAGTAAATAGAACTCTATTCTATTTTATTTGTCGAGTAGCAGCCCCCACCACACAGAAAAGCCGATTAGCGCGCAGATTAGACACGATTAGACACTGGCTTTGTGTAGACCCTTTTTTTACTCGACTTTACTCTACTAAGTTACTTGACTCGTGTGAACAGAAAACACACTTGACTAAATAACTTTACTCTACTAAACTACTGGCTGCGTCTGAACCAATGAACTGGAGTGGGGTAGAATGCTTGTCAATAGGCTTGAGATGCGACTCTATGGACGAAGACAGGTTATTTTTCATCTCACTCGGGAGTATTTATAACGACCATTTTCTATTTCACTTTGTTATTGTCTGATCCACCAGCTTGTGGATTGAACAATAACAATGTGAAACAGAAAATGGTTATTATAAATACTCCCGAGTAAGATGAGAAATAAAAATGACTGCGCACATAGAGTCGCATCTTGTTCAATTGATACAATATGGACATTAGCTTTCTACCCCACTCCAGTTCATTGGTCTGAACCCGCCTTTACTCTACTATCAAGATCCAGTACTCTACTCGACTAATCACGTTTTCATTAAAAGAGCTAGAAGGATAGTTGGTACTTGCCCAGCGGACTCTACCGTTAACTCTACTAATGAAAACGAGGCTTAAGATATGCAGAATATAATTGTCAAAGTTTTTATCTGTATTTACACTATAAAACAACTGATGTAAGAAAGTATAATAATTACCTATCTCATTTTTATTTTAATTAGGAACACTTTGTATTTCTTTATCATCACTGCTTTCGCACAAATTTTCTATATAAATATCCTAAATTTTAATGGACAGGGGTATGATCTTGATTATTGTATATATATATATATATATATATATATATATATATATATATATATATATATATATAAGACGTGTGCCGATAAAGGAATAATATTAACAAAATTTTTAGGTACCTCAATAATTTATGCTTACATTATTGACCTTTTTCTGTTTTCTTTTAAATAAATTGCCAATGTTATAACAGCAATCAATTTACTGATTATCTCTGTGTAGAAGTAATCACATCAAATGTCATGAGAGTTTTGTCCGGTATTTTCAATAAGCCTAGGATATTTGCGTATGTTGCAAAATCTGTGAAGTAAGATACGAAAAAAAGCAAAATGCAAAAAACTATTATTTTTAGCTGCTTAATCTAAAAAAAATAAAAATTTAAAAAAATTCAATGACGTACATTTTGTTTGTCATAAGAATGTTCCTGCGACGCCACTTGAACTCATAATTATCTGCAAAGTTGCCAAATTTCAACAAAATCGAGAATATGAACTTTGAGATATTAATAAAAGGCCTTTTTTAAACTTTGACACCCTGTACCTTGAAAACCAGACATTTTAGGACACATGTTTATATAAACTTTTCTACCTGAACTTGGTTCAGGAACGCGCCCTTGGAATTACGACCTATCATTAAGTAACACCCTCTATAATAGTTATATTCTAAAATATCTACGACTCTGGATTGTGACTTATTTTTGGCACCCTTACTGCACTCTTTTGTCCCGTTGGTGGTAGGTAACCAACAATTTAGCGTCCCTCGACTTTCATATTTTGGCCACACTTTATATTTTTCTTGTCATTAAAAATGTTCGTTCAATTGATAGTTGTAAACTCTCCCTAGCGGAAATGTATAAATAGATTGCAAACCAAGTAATGGGCATGAATATTATATAACTACTGCAGTAGGCGAATTATATTAATAATAATACTAAATATTATGATAATGATCAATAATACGAAAATTGCTTTGACTCATCTCTGAAGCATATTTAAATTTTGATTGTTTGTTTAGGACCTAAGTAGCACTTAAGTACGTATAAGTTTCACACATTTTGAACATGGTTGAAACATGTTATATTTACACTTTGAATCGTTACATTGAATATTGATAATAAAATAACGAAACATTTTTTTCGATTGTAATTTTCCTTATTGGAATTCAAGATCAAATTATGACATTTTGCGGTCGAATTACATATTATATATTCAAGAATAGCACTATTTATTCATTATTTCACTTTGGTATTAACTTAAATCGTTGGAAATATACAGAAAGAATCCTCTGAGGTTAATGTATACAGGCTGATGTGGTATTACTAGGTAAATGAGTTGAATGCTTAAATAACAGGGTTTTTCTAATGGCAGTGGTTAGTTCTGATAAATACTAGTGCACAATCTTGACCCTGTACTGGAGTCCCATAAAAATGTTAGTTCTGATTTGTCTAACCAAAAGAATCGGGTGAACTAGAATCCGATTACAATAGGAAGAACACCGCTACGTCATAACCATTATTTATCAATCTATAACTATTAATAAACAAAGAATAAGTAAGTTATTAGTTATAAAAACATATTTCCTATGTTCCAATAATATTAATATTCCACTAAACACCCAGTAGGCGGCGATGACCAATTATTGACTTTACCAAATGAAGCTGTGTTCTTCTTATTGAAATCGGACCCTACATATAGGTAATTTTTCTTTATTTTTTACCTGATTTCCAAAAACTCCTATACTACAAGCAGACGACACTTGTGAAGGCCCAAACCAAAGGGCTGCCAATCTTGCTGGTACGGCAAGAATAAAGATTTGAGCAAATCCAACTATTGTTTGTCCCACAAATGCAACATAAAATCTGTCTTTGTCAACTGCACCTACTTTTATCCATGTTCCTATGCAATTTATTGTCATACCTATTATCACAGCTTTTCTGAGACCCTGAAAATGAAAGACAACCAAATTAAAAACAAAACGAAAATGAGTTTAAAGCTTCCAGTTAGACTGCAAAATTTGTTTATAATGTTGGTATTCCTCTACTTAAGGTTATTATAAGTGTAGATCATTGCTCATATTGTTTCTATTATATATTAACAACATCAAATGGGAATGGGAACAAAAGTAATTGCCACTAATGGGAACCAAATAAATTATTAAGATCATTATTATTATCAGCAATTTAGCTTCAATAAGCTGATATAATTCAATGTCTCTAATACGCATTTCAGCTTACTTTTATGAAACAAAAAGTTAACCTATATCATGTGCGTATAAACAAAGAGGTTCGATACTGATAATACATCTAGGTTAGTTGGTGTCATCATCACTCAAAACATTAGGTAACTCTTGCAAAATTTGATATTGTCTATTGTCTCTATTTAAATAAGATAAGCAAATATGCAATAGACTTCAATCAGAACGATGTAATTATTAGATATCATAATGAGTAGGTAATTGAGAATCGAGATAAATGTCATTAATAATTGGATATACTGGATATTATCACAGTTTCGTAAACATATTTCTCCATGGCTACTATTGAATGTAGTTCTTCCGAAACCACTTATAATAACAGAAAGAAAACATTACCGCTCTTGAGATTGAAAGAAAATTCTGATACACTTGTATCTTATGTATTTTACATGTATTTCATTATAACTCTATAGTCAGAATGTTCATTATGTAATAGCTCCTGGCCAATAGCTGTGAATACTATGCCTGCATCGTAGATAGTCAAGAATTTCATGACTGACATTTCTACGCCAACGTATTAGTATTTAGTTTGAATTTTCTGCATAAAGATAAGCGGCGTTTGTAAAGTCGAACCTACATTCAAAAATTGGTGAATATAATGATTCTATGGAATTTGATAATATTCCTCATCAACTAACTAATCATGTAAATAATTTAAATAAAAACTTGCCTAACATAAGGTGGATTAAATATTTAATTTTGTTCAAAGTTTCATTTTATTATATTCAACTCCTTCTATGTCTCTGGCCGTGGAGAAATTACAGTCTGTTACTCTGTTGGAATCTTCCACTATTATCGAATTTTCATTCCAACCTTGTTACAGAATATACTTTTCAAGGCTGGGGTTAGCCTAGTTCCAAATATTTGTCTGAATTCTTTATAACAAGAAGGGTGTCTGTCAGGTTGGTAAGACCAAATGATTTGTTCCATACCTATGGGGCCTGAGTATATCCTTCCAAAAATGGAGAAAGGTAAAAGTGGTATTTATACCCAAACCTGGAAGGATGGATTATACTGTCCCAAAAACATACCGACCAATTAGTCTGACATCGTTTTCCATTAAGACATTGAAAAGGCTATGCGAGAGGTATATAAGGGACGCGGTGATTACAACACCACTACACCCAAACCAACATGCATACACTCCAGGCAGATCTACTGATTCAGCCCTTCATCTAGTTGCTGGCCAGATAGAAAGATCCCTGGACAATAATGAGTCCGCCTTAGGTGTTTTCATAGACATAGAAGGTGATTTTGATAAAACCACCTTCCCAAAGATAATAAACTCACTAATCAACAGGAATGTTCCACAAATGCTTAGTGGGTGGATACATAACATGCTCTTAAAGCGAGCAGTCAACATGTGTATAAGATGTAAATATAAGAGGCTTGGTTGCAAGGGGGGATCCACAGGAAGGGGTGCTATCACCTCTACTGTGGAATATGGTCCTCGACACCCTCATCAGCCGCCTCAATAATGACAGTCACTACACAATAGCATATGCAGATGACCTGGTCATTCTGCAAACAGGGAATTTTGAGAACATACTCTGCGAAAGAATGCAAGTAGCTCTAAAAACTATAGAACAGTGGTGCAAGGATCATTCACACTCTAGCACTCCTAAGAAGACAGAAATGGTCCCTTTCACAAGGAAAAGGATGAAAATGGAATCAAAACCTCCAGAATTCCTAAACACAAAACTTAACTTTGCAACAGAGGTGAAGTACCTATGTTTCACTTTTGACGCAAGTTAACATGGAACTCGCATTTAAAAAACAGAGTTAAAAGAGCATACATTGCTTATGAACAATGCCGCCGAACCGTGGGGCGCACCTGGGATTTCTCCCCCAGAGTCGTCGCATGGACTTACACGGTTATCATAAGACCTATACTAACATACGGTGCAGTTGTCTGGATACCGAAAACCCAAAAATTAACCGCTATCCGTAAACTAGAACAAATTCAAAGAACAGCATGTCTCAACATAACAGGAGCCATGAAAACAACACCGACTAGAGCCATGGAAGTCATTCTTAGTCTCACTCCCCTTTATATTTAGATCAAGGAGGTTGCTCTGACGATAATGACATGCCTCCGCACGATCGGAATTGAACCTGGTGTAGGATCTGGTGAGGCGAGACGTCAATTTTGGCAGGAGGCGCTCGATACGCTCTCACTGCTTCAAGCGAACATGGACTCCATCTCACCGAAATATATCTTTCATAAGCCATATAAAGTTATAATAGAACAAATAAAAGAGCCGGAAGTGATAGGTACGATTCATATCTACACCGACGGTTCTAAAACAAAACAAGGCTTAGGATGTGGGATATATTCCAGATTCTTAAACCTAAACATAGAATGGGCTGTGAGCAATAGTGCCAGTGTAGTTCAAACAGAGCTAACGGAGATTCTCATAGCAGCAAAATAAATAACCAGAATGAATATCACTGGAAGAAACATGTTCATCTATATAGATAGCAGACAAGCACTATTCACCCTGAACAGACCACGTTACGATTGCTCGACTCTCTGATTTATTAGAAGATTTATGTTCGGTGAGTATCGGCTAACACCGGCCGGTATAAAAGAAGCACCTCTTGGCGACGTTGTCAACTACATTAAATCTGTAGGCTGGCTCACGAGCTAGGAGGTGCCTATCATCTCAGGAGGATGCACAATGGGCCTAATGAGGCCTAAGTGCCGTGGGGTAACCCACCCTTCACACGGTACAGATACAGATGGGGTCTGAGTATTTCATTCTTGCCCATAAAAACATTATTACTTCTTGTTTTCAACAATTTTCTCCACGTTCCGAAAATTCATAAAAAAACCGGTATTGTCGTATGTGCGTGTATATATATGTATGAACATTTTTTCTATATTAATGTTATTCTTAACAGTCAAATAAATTATTTAAAGTTTTTAAACGTGTTGTAACTGAAAGTAGTGTGATAAATGAAAATAAATATTTTAACTTTAAATAAATGTGAATCCTAATATACACGATGAAGAAGTAACGATGTTTTTTGCACAAATTTTAACGAACTCTAGAATGGAACTCATATCTAAATTTGATATTAGGATATTGTATTACATGGGCAGGTTTAAGGGTTAAACGACCCAAAGAATTTTATATGGATAGACGTAAGAAGTAAAGGGGCCAAATAGTTTGATATGAGCAGGCTCAAGGGATCATTAACATTCATTTTATACCAAGGAGGTAAAATTCCAAGAAAATACAAACCAAATATTTTATACCATTAAATTGCCAGTATATCAACATTTTTTTAATTAATTTTGTTCTAATTTGTTTTGATGGCTTTGTCCATATTTTCTGGTATTCTGTATCGATGTTTTTTTAATGTACACAAATACCAAATACTTCGTCAAAGGCATAACAAAAATAAAAGTTACTGACCTACCATTAAAAATGAATATATACAATTCACATAACAAATTATTTATCAATTAGCACATAGTTATTGTGTAGGCGATAATTCCTTAAAATGGATTTCAATAATCTAAAACTTATTAAAATTTTTGTTTGTTTGCAAAATACTTATTGCGTTTCAATATTATTTACTTTTCGTAAGTTTTCTAGATATTGATACGAATCACCTTTCCTAAAACTTATTTTTACTACGACCACTTAGGAAAGTGACACATATCACACTATATGTGCGAATATGCTACTTTCCGCATCAGCTGTCACAAAATGTCAAACGTATCATTTCTATTTTGATCTATGTAATATTCATATTAATACTAAAATCGATATGATTGTTAAATTATTGAAATTGTTGTAAATTAGATCCTAGATATTTATCTTAAACAATTATTGTTAAAATAATTGTAAAATAACTAAGTTATGTTTGCTTTTTATTCTCGTTAAATACATAACCGATTAGACTATTCAATTGACGCAAGGCCTATTAGCTCAGGTGGTAGAATATTAAACTTTATCAACTTTGCTATTTGAGAGCTGGCGAGCGACCGCGTTCAAATCCTTGCGGGGGCAATTTTTTTTTATTTTTTAGTTTTTTTTTTGTTTAGAAAATATGAAAATTGAATAAATACGATTATTGTTGATTATTTTTTTAAATACATTTTAATTATTATAATAATAACTTGGTTTTACATTTTTTGAAGAAATTATTTTGTGGTCGTAGGAAAAATATTGTACATCACTTGTGTGAAAAATGATTATCCACACTCGTAATGTAATATACTATATATTATTATTACAAAAATACTATTTTGATTAATGATAAACCCTGTTTGCAGTCAATTCCATTTTCTACTGCACTAATGCAAAACCATTAAAACCAATTTTTCTACGCCCATGTCAGTAAACGTTAAAAATCACACTATCAACATTCCTTGTAAATGTCATTTAACAATAACATGCACATAATGAGATCTCATAACATACACGTGCGTTTTGATAAGAAAACTTAAATTTCTTGGTTTAGTCAAATTGCAATCAAATTTTTGTCTTTTTTTTGTCTTTTTTGGTCTTTTTTTAGAAAACAAGAGTTTTTGTCACAGGGCCCGATGTAGAGAATTGTCCCGGGGCCCGACCTGGCTCTCGGCGGCCCTGGTCAAAAGGTCCTCCAATAAAATAAATCGTCATCGTGTACCTATCCTGTCATTAAATGTTGTAGTGTCCCACCCTAGCTAAATAGTCACTATTATTTTCTTTAAACTTTTTTTTTTTTAATTAAAAATTTTCATCCAATTTATACGTGGAATTTTTTATTTAAAACATTTTTTCAAATAATTTCCTACTTATTAAGAACTTTCTTCTTTGTAATTAAATCCTTTTTGTGCAACAAATGTTCACACAACGTGAAAACCGTAAATGCCGTTTATTATCACTGATTATTTATCACATTTGTTTACTTTTAAGATAATTACTTAATCCTTAGTCTGGGAATTTTACAATGTCTGGGATTTGCCCGATTTTTACTTATATTAAAAAGATAGTTTTATGTACTTATACATTTATTGGAAATTGATTTTTAAACTTTTTAAATATTTTGTGGTAGGTACTAATAGAAAAATCAAGTAACAAAATTCGAAAACTAATAAACCTATGGACAAGAGAAATAGAAAATGTGAGAATGGAAACCAAAGTGATGATTACAACCGAAAAACAGAGAGTAAAAAGTAAAGACAATAGTAGAAAAAATAACAACCTGTAAATAACTAGGAAGTATTTTAACAGAGAAAAGATGAAAACAGTATCGGCCAACGACTACCTTATAATATCCCTTGGCATAAGTGTATGTTAAAACAACAGAGAGTCAGCTCTAGGGCAAACAGGACAAACAAAACCAGCGATGCCAGCCTATACGGTCTGGCCTTAGATTAAAGAGACCGGAAATGTAACATTGCACATAGCGCATGATGTCTATTCCAACCTTACCAATTAAAAATCATTGTGTTCATGACGCCACCCGAATTCTTCCGACATTTCTATTCTACGCTCATCTCCGAATGAGTGAATCATCATGGACCGCCGTTTTTTGAACTATTTGTTGGTGTTATTAGCAATTTAAAGTGTTTTAGTTATTCAATTTCAAGTTGAAAATGCTACGATGTATCGTGAAAAATTGTATATACAAATAATATAAATGCCAATGTTATGAAAAATAAGAAGCATATTCGTTTTCAGCCTTAGAGCATATTAGACTAGAGGTGTTACATAAATGGGTTTGTTATGTACTGAGGGGGGTAACCCCTTCGGTGTTAGGTACACGACGCTTTATGATTGGCGTGCTAGGTACACGACGATTTATGATTGGGGAATTTAAATAACCCGCGTGTTTGGGATAAATGACATTTCATTAGACGTCTTGTTTTCGTTTTTATAAAGATCGGTTAATGCTTCTTTTATAAACTTTTTAAGTGTGTTTTTATTATAAAATAAGTGCTAATCATGCCGAGATCTTGTATAGTTTGCAATAATAAATTCTTAAAAGGGTCCCAGTTGACGTTTCACAAGTAAGTATTCTATATTTCATAAACGTAACTGAAAATGGGAAATGGGCAAATTAATAAGGAAACATGTTTGTAGAATGTTCTTCATTTGAGCATCACCGCAACTGGTTGCGTTTGACAGAAAATAATTCTTATCTTTGCGATATAATGCTTAATTTATTAGTCTTCTTGTGTACTGTAAAATGGTTTAGATACCCTTTTGTATTGAACATATTTTTTTTTTTACTTATTTAAGATTTTCTACTGATCTCACAACCAAATTGGATGCTGTTGACAGAACAGTTGTCTAACATCAAAGAACTGACTCTCTTCGAAGAGCTGCTCTGTCGAGTAGGCATATGGTTTTTTCATTAAAATCTTTATAAGCCATTTTTGCGTAATATTTAATTTATTTATGTGGCAATCAAGTTCACCGCCCCAAGCAATAAATGAGTAAGTTATATGGGTTTCAGCAAGAGCATAATATAATATTCTTAGCTCATTCCATTTTAATATTTCTGACAAGAATTTGAATGTATGCAGTAACGTTTCAAACTTTTTAGTAACAAAGTTGATATGAATATCCCATTTTAAATGATTGTCTATATATATTCCCAAGTATTTGATATTAGAGACTGCTTTAGTTTCTATTCCAATATTGTTGACTTTAATTTCGATTTTGTTATAGTTTGGTAAAGCATTAGCGTATGATGAACAGGGAACAAAGAATGTCTTACTGAAATTTACCGTAAGTAAGTGTTGCTGAAACCAGTGAAATATATGAAGCAAGTCACTTTCAACTGATAATTTCAAAGATACCCAGTTTGTGCTTTCATTAACAATTCCAGTATCATCAGCAAAACTGATAATGTTGCCATTAGAATTTATAGAAAATAAGTTATTAAGGTATATGCTAAATAAAATTGGCCCCAGTACGGTCCCTTGTGGAACACCATATACCACATTATTAGTTTCACTGAGGCTGACTGTATCAAAAGCTTTGGCGAGGTCTATGAAGATGCAGAGCGATGCTTTTTTTTATCAATATTTTCATAAATGTACTTTGTGAGTTTAGTTATTGCATTTTGTGTAGACCTTCCTTCCCTAAAACCAAATTGGTCATCAGAAATAATATTATTCAGAAAATTGATTATTACTACTTTCAAAAGTTTTTAATCTATTTTTGAAAAATTTGTTACAAGGGATATGGGCCTATAATTAGTCATATTGTCTTTCTCTCCTTTTTTGAATAAAGGTTTAATTATCGCTATTTAAATGGTGTTGGGAATACTTCGCTCTTAAAAGATTTGTTTATTATATATGCCAAGGGCTTTACGATTTGGTTTGATATGTTTTTAATTATTTTCGCGCGTATACCATCAATACCCGGAGCTTTGTTATTTTTAAGAGAACCAGTGACATTTAAAATTTCTATCTCACTAGTGTCAGATAGAAAAACGAATTTGGAATTATTTATTTATTAAATTTTATATTAATGGGATTTATTTTTGTTGCTAAATTGGCGCCAATATTAGAAAAGAAATTACAAAATTCGTTCGCCATTAGTTTTTTATCAGATATTTTTTACCGTTGTCAAGAGTGATTTCACTAATATTAGATATGCGAGTTTTGTTCATAACATTATTTACCGTTTTCCACAGCGTTGAAGGGTTACGATCATTTTTTTCTAACAAGCTTCTATAATAATTTGCTTTAGCAATTCTAATTAAATCCCTTAAGTGGTTTATATATCGCTTGTATTCATTTATGTTTTCTACAGAGTTATGTTTTTAATTTTTTTATATAGTTTATCTTTTATTTTTGTCGATTGATCCAAAGCATTTGTAATCCATGGCGATCGTTTTCTTTCATTGGTTTTGTATTTTTTGATATATTCACAATTTTTTATATTTGTTTTTATAATATTAATAAAATTTTCCGTGGCAATACAAATATTTTCCTCAAACATGACTGAATTCCAGGTTTCCTGATTTAAATTATTTTGTAGTAAGTCATAGTTTAAATATTTTTTAAAATTATTGGTTTTGTTTAATGTTAATGTTGTTTTTTCTTTACAGGTAATAATTTGTGCCAGAGTCGTAAAGTGGTCTGTGATCGACGTTTCTAATACAAGCCATTAATAATTTTTGAATTTTCAACTTTTGAACAGCCAAAATTAATATTGGAAATGAATTAAATGAAAATATTAATTTATAAATAATTTTGTTTTCTGAAGTTTTTTAAAATGTTTGCATTAGAATATAAAGAGTTGTGAAAAATATTGATAACATTACAAAAATCATTTGAATAAAAATGTTTGAATGCGGTTCTATCTAGGCGAAATAATCGCAATGTGTGTGAGCACGAGTCATTTTTTGTATTTTTCTTCGCTATGCAGTGTCGGCCACTGAACCTTTTCCAATACGCTTTGCACAAGTCAGTGTGAAATCTACACAGAGTTAGAATTAGGGCGAGTAGGAAACGAATAATATTAGCGTTGCCAGCTTATACGGCCTGACCGCGTTGTAATTGCAATATACAGGTAATTGAAATCATTACGGATTTCATATAAAACTATATACTATATACTATTTGATGTTGTAATTGTAAATGCGAGAGTAATTTAAATATAAAATAAAATAGACGGGGTCCATTTAAAATATTCAAGATTGAAGTTATTGAGTACCTTGTATATTTGAAAATTATTTTGAAATATGAAGTTTAATACAGTTCTGTATTTTTTCATATTTTTACTCTTTAGATATTGGAATTTTTGACATTAATGTATCACCCTGTATGTAGTGATGAGCTGCTTAATAAAGGAATTTATGTAGTGATATGAAGCGATGTGTGATTAAAAACAAATAACCGTAATGTTGAAATGAAAAGTGATAATTGGAATTTAATATATTTTACAAATATTGATACTCACCAATTTTTCCAGTAAATAACTAGCAGGAAATACAAATGGAATATAGAGTATCATGTAAATCATCGATGTCCAATCAACCCACATCGAGGACACCCCATAATAACTCACCACCACATCATTTATAATCGAAAATTGCACCCATTGCATCGCATTGGACATGGAGTACAATACAAAAATACCCAAAACCACCCATCTCGCACCGTAAACTTGAATTTTTTCTATTTGCGGCAACTGTTTTGTCTCTACATCGGCAGCGTTGTTCATTTTTTAATGTGTGAATTTATCTATAACAAATTAAATAGTTAGTAAGCTATCACATCCACACCACTATCAGTAAATGAAATGGGCGTCACAGACGATTGGACGAGGTCTACCAAGGTACCAAACATAAAAATACGTATATTTATTATAAAATATTCTTAATGGATGTTTACACAAATATTTTCGGCAAATGTGATATCAAATTTTATTTGGTTGATTATTATCATGTACATATCTATATAAGATATATTAATTTAAATGACATACCTAGTTTTGTTCGCGTAATAACACAAAATAATAATTTTCAAAATTTTCGGTTTAACTTTAGTGCTTTAAATATCAAAGGTTTTTAAAATGCAAAGCATGTCTCATGAAGCTTATTTTATGCACTGTGACACGAGTACTGGATTTCTTCCTTTGAATAAAGTGCCATACTTTCTAGACTTGTTTATAAATATGTATTATAATTCTAGGTAAAATATAATAAGTTTCTGTGAATAATACCTCATTAAACAGTTATTCATCCTTTAAAATTTCCTAACTGCATCTACTAAATTTACTTAAATTGAACGACTGTAATAGTATACCTACTAAGTCCTAATATTAATTTGGAAAAGCTGGTGTTAATCTTTTAGCTTTAGAGAAGGATTATAATAAATTCGAAGGGCGCTTCTGTAAATCTCTTTTTATGGTAACTGGTCGTAGACGAATGGTTTTATTGTGGTTTTATGTCTGATTAGGTATTTTCAAGCAATGTTACCAAATTAGATTTACTTATATTCGGTGTAGATCTTATAACCGAATTCCGAGTCTACTATACTTAAGTAGGTATAAGCTGTATTTGGTGGATATTGACCAGCTTTATCAATCATAAACGATGCGCCTCGTAGCAGAGCTAGATAATTCCTAGTTAAAAAGTAATTAATAATTACAAATACTTTTTTCAGGTAATTTGTAATTGTATTTAAGTACCTACATTTTTTTCTTAAAGTAATTTGGAATTGTAATTGCTGCAAAATATGTGGAGGAATTTTACTTTGTAATTATATTATTTAAATTGCCTAAATACAATTACCTCTTGTAACTAGAATTACAATTACTTTTTCCAATTACAATTACATTTCTTAAGTACGGTTACTTTTAAATGCGTGTTTACGAGATGCACGTTGTATAAAAACATGAAATTTCCTGGTCGAAGCTGTCATTACAGCTCGGACTCGCATCCATCTTATTTGTTTAAATGCATTTGACGAAAACGCTGTGCCGTGGAAAAAGCCTTAGTGAAGTAGTGAAATTGTTAAACCCAAAATAATAATAATAGTAGGCAATAAGAAAATGTAGATACACTTATTATACTGTTCACAGAGTATGAAGAGTATTATGCATTCGGTTTCGTCCGTCCGATGTCACGTTTTTGTCCGCACGATAAGTCAAAAACGAAAAACGTTATCAATTTAAAAATTTCAGTAAAAATCTAGCTCTATAAGGGGACGAAGCCTATAGATTAAAAACAAAATGTATAGATATGAAGAGATAAGGGGGGTTGAAATATTAAATAAAAACGAAAAATGATATTAACTTGAAATTTTTAACAAAAAAAAGCTCTATAAGGGGACAAAGCCTATTGATTTTGAAAAAAAATTAATTAGAAATGGGTGCTTAAGGGTGTTTAAAGGGTTTAAAATTAAAAAAAAAATCATAATTCAAAGACGAAAAACAAGCTCTATAAGGGGACACAAAAGACAAAAAGAGAAAAAAAATTATTAAAAATGGGGGGTTAAGGGGGTTAAAATTAAAAAAAAATCATAAATCAAAAACGAAAAGCGATATCAACATGAAAAATCAAGTTCTGTAAGAGGATGCAGCTTATTGATTCTGAAAAAATCTGATTGAAAATAGGGGTTAAGGGGGTCTATTAAACTGTGAAGAATAAAGGATAGAATTCCAGGCATTATATATCTTTATTCTAGTTTTTAAGATGTATTTTGTATTTATATTACTATAAACATAATTTGTTACATAAACATTATAAACTAAGGAAATATAGTATGAAATAACTACTTATTTACGTTACATAGGCATTTCTAGTTATTATTCTAATTTTCTACATTGAACGGAAGGATTAACTATATAAATACGCTTCCAGAAGGCATGCGCTGTCTGTCAGAAATTTTGAAAAAGTTGTGAAAAGTAACAATATGAACATTTTGTGAATTATAACTTAATCTTGGAAATCTGGCGTCATTACTTTCTGTCTGCTTGATGAAAAGTAAAAAATATCAATAATTTTACATCAAATATTTTTCTTACATTCTGTATTCCACTCTTGTTAAAAACATGTGTTTCAAGCGATTATATGAGAAAATTAAATATATAATAAATTGGTGGTACCCACATTAACTGGATTGAGGACATCAAAAAATTTCTATAAAAATATTTGGGCACTTTACCCCTGTACCCATGTAAAAATATATGGGCCCTTATTCGCTTTAGTCTGTCTATGTAAAAACATTTGGTCCCTTTATCTATTCAGCCTGCACATGTAAAAATATTTTGCCACTTTATCTCTTAAGCCTGCTCATGTAAAAAGTATTTGTTCCTCTTACCACTTACGCCTGTCCATATAATATTTGACCCATTTATACCTTAAGTATGGCCATGTTAAAATATATTATCTATTTATCCCTTAATCCTGTCCATATCAAAATATTTAGTCCCTTTATCAATCACGCATATCCATGTAAAAATATTTGGGCTGTTTGTCCCTTAAGACTGTCGATATAAAAATATTTGAGCCCTTTACTTCTTTAGCCAGCTCATCTAAAAATAATATTGAGCATTTTCCCTTTTTAATCCTAATATTAAATTCATTATGAGTTCCATTCTGAAGTTCGTTAAAATTTATTTCAACTTTTCAACAATTATTTTCACTTATCACCTTCTGTTACAATAAATATCCACTTAAATAAAATCATTCAAGACATTTAATAAAATTTAAAATAATTTATTTGTCGTTTAAGAATGACAGCGTTATAAAAAAAAATGTCTTAGTTCACAAGCATGGATATCTAATTAAATCAATACCCTGGTTGCAGCGTATAAAATAAGCTCCATAAGAAATGCATTGCATTTTAAAAAGATTGATATTGAAAGCACTAAAGTTAAATCGAAAATTATTACATTCAATAGGGTTCTCAGCTTGAAGAAATTATTCAATAAAAAAACAAAACTGCAAGTTGATTGGCCCTTTTGATCTAGAGTTATAGGGTCGGCGTATACATACATACGCACAGACTATCAAAGGAGAGGCCCCATAGGTAGGGGGCCGCCGGAATTTAAATTACAGTTACATTTTTTATTTTCATTATTTAATCTAATAATATCATGAACATGATTATTTTTAAGACTTTAATTTTAATATTCTTTTAATTGACATTCTAAATCTCTTTATTGATCATTAGTTTACATAAAAATACGTAAAATAGTAACTACAAAATGGAATCACACTCATCTACGTAGTACACAGAAATTGTATCTAAATTATATTTACTTATTTCTTATAGGTACTTGTTGATAAAAAATTTCCAAATTTTATTTTTCCATATTTCACAATACTTGGAAATGTTAATAGTAGTTTGTGCAACAAGAGTGGATATGATGGTTATATCGCACGAAGACGAAGTTTGAGCACAACTCGAATTGTACAGTAAATTTTTTCTACGACCCACTTCCGAAAATCTACAAAATTTAAAAATTATTTTAGGTTACTAAGACAAAATAATAAATAATAAAATAAAATAAATATGAAAAGAAAAAAATTACTGTCCCCACCCAGATTCGAACTCGACTCTCCTGCGTGGAAGACAGACGCCGTCTCCTGACCTCCACCGTCAGATTTCAGACTATTGTTCTAATACTTGTAATTAAAATAGTTTTATATAGTTAAAATAAAATTTTAAATGTTTTTCAAAAATAGAAATGCTATTATTAATCGATTCTACACAACAATAACTTATTTTAATGTATATTTATTCTCAATAAATAAAAAAAATATACTGACAATTAGTTTGATAGAAATGTCACTTAAAATTTTAAAAATAATAGTAGTTGTGTGATCAAAATATGAAGTGTGATTGGTGAATTTCATTTTTTTGCAGTTTTCTCACTACCTAGAATGGATATGAAATATATTCCTTCAGTTAATCGCAATAGCGTACTTTTTCGTTTTGCAGTCTGTGAGTAGATAAGCTAACTAATATTCATGTGGGTGTAGAAAATATTATTTTAGAGGATGGTCAAACGTCAAAACATAATTCTAAATCGTTAAAGATCTTTATTGTAAACTTATGTCGTCCGGCCACATTTTCCAAGTGGAAATTCGATTTCCAAATTTTATTTTTCGAATTTTCACCCTGCTTGGGCACACTTAAACTATTTTAGGGGGTGATCAAACATCAAAACATAATTTTAAAACATTATGGGGATTTATTGTGCATTTATGTCGTTTGATCATTTTTTCCAAGCCGAAATTCGATTTCCAAATTTTATTTTTCGAATTTTCACATTACTTGGAAACATTAAAATTATTTTAGGGGGTGGTCAAACGTCAAAACGTAATTTTAAACCTTTATGGATATTTATTATGTCCTTATGTCCATTGACCATTTTTTTGAACTAGAAATTGGATTGGGAAATGTTTTCTTTGAATTTTTAACCCCTCTGTGGTCTTGTAAGATATTTTAGGGAGTGATCAAACGGCGATACTGAATTTTAATCGTTTTTGGATCCTATTGTGCCTATCTGACCATTGATCTATCTTTCAAAGTTGAAATTTATCTCAGAACTCTTGTTTTCTCTAATTTACCCCCTTTAAATTATTTTAAGGGGTGTTAAAAAAATCTAAGGGATGGTCAAACATGATCAAAAATTTGTTAATCTTATGGTGCAGTCAGTTTTAAAAAAATATTAACTTCTGGTGTAAGCGGGCACTCTGCCATTAATATTTTTTTAAATATTTAGGTTT